ATTGAATAAAAATTCGCGCCATCTCTGCTTGTGAACACACACAAAAAAATAAACAAACCGGAGACGTTTTCTGTTTAAAGGAATTGTGTTCGCAAGGAATTAACTGTCCATCTAATTTTTTTCTAATTAAGAATTTTAGATGGAAGGTCTGAAAAATGAGAAAAAAATGTTCCCACGAAAACTAAGGAATGTTAGCTCTCCTTTTGTGCATTGATTTCAATGGTGGAATAACAATGGTGAATCGAGTTTCGGGGATAGCCCTCTAGCCAACTTGAAGCTTGGTCTAAAAGAATATACCAACTGAATTTTACCCATATTTATATAAAAGGGGTGTGCGATAGACTTACCTCTACGTGGTGCACCCTGGGCAACGTATACTCATACGGCAAAAAAGTCTATTAACTGGCAGTTGACCTCTGACTTCAAACTACCATGGCCCGACTGCATGTCATATTCGACCCCTTCCACAGAACTCATCTAGCCTTTTCTCCACCTTTATGTCTGTCTGTCCCCTTTACATCTGTGAATCGCTCTTCTTTTCTCCTGTCGAATTTTTCTTCCTTTAATGTTCCTCCCTTCTGGGAAGCCCGAAGTCATCTAAAGGGCTAATGATAACTATTAAAATGCCTGCCATTTGAAGTAAATAAATAAATATTTATATAAAATGACAGGCTTCATGATAGCAAAAATTAACCCTTTAGTTGACCTCAGGCTTCACAAAATTCGAGAGGGGAACAGGAGACTGAACCATAGAAGCAAAAGGGAAAGACACAAAAGTAGAGAAAAATGTAAGTTGAGTACTGCGGAAATGGTGGAATATGCAATGAAGTCGAGTCATAGTCGTTCGAAATCGACTCTTTTGCCCAGAATGCACCACGTGGATGTAGGCCTTTCGCGCACCCCTTAACCATGACATTGATTTTGAGGTTAAATTGGGCTGGGGTGCCGTTGACTTGAGCTGGGAAGTACAGTAGCATTTTTTGGTGAACTAGAGTTGTTCAGAAATTGCAACTCAAGTGGGAGTTAGGTTGGAAACCTTCAACCCAGAGATAGTTAAAAACCAGAAGTATTATGCCATTAGACGGTCGGCAACTGACCAACTACCTGGTTAGCCAATAAACTCAAAGAATCCCGTCTCAGTTACAAACTTAGAAGACTGACAATTGGTAAAGTAAGTACACGAGGGATGGCCATGTTTGAATTGATTTCTTAAATAAACTTTATTTCCTAGCTTATTAGAAGGTACTAGCAGTAAATGTATTTTGGAAAGGGAATATAAGTAAACACAAGGACAATATTTAGCCCAAAAAATGTTCAAGCCTGTTGAACAGTTATCTGAGCGTTCAAAATTTGTGTTATCGGCGACCACGCAACCACAGTGACAATTTGCTGAGTGAAGCAACCTCTCATGAGAAAGCCGATATTTTCGATATTTCAAAAAATAAATCAATTAAAAAAGTCGAATTGTGAATGTTTTCACGAGCATAGAACAAACGAGGAACATTTATTCCAATGAGGGGAATTGAAACTCCTAGTACTTAATAGCGTTTTTTTTTCAAAACGACAAGTCCTAACTCACGTGACAGTAAATAAAATAATTAATGGGCAAAATGACTTGAATGATGTCAACGGATCTTCAGGATCGTGTTCACGTAGCCCCCCCCCCCACCCACCCACCCCCATCCCACTCCCTCATGGACGCTTCAATAAGAATGGAGATACTCAACTATAATTCTAATGATGTAATACAAAAGCATTATTTCAGAAATTAGCTAACAACAATTTTTGGAATTTCATCGAGAAAAAAGAGCTCTTTTCAATGCAAAACGCTTTTGAGGCCGAAATCCCCTAAAATTAAGTTTGTTCACTCGTTAGTAAGCTAAGAGGGCGTAGTTATCCTACCCCACACTCGTCAACAATTTACTGGACCAAAATTTTGACAAGCAACAGCTTACAAAGTATCGAAAACTTGTCACCACATCTCAGAGTGAGTGCTGAGTAATACGCCAACAATACATTGTTAATACAACTGCAAATTAGCTTTAGTTATCTTATTAAAACACACATAATTAGGGCAAGGATTACTCACCGACCGCGTATCACCACTCAAACCGGCGTCATGAGGCACAACGTGAGTAAACTTGGGCTCAGTAGGCAATAATGCCTCTTCAGCTAGTTCATAATCCGAAGGGGAAGAGGGTCTAGCGGATGTGGGGAGATTTTGAGGAAGCAATGCTGGTCGTAGTGTGACCCTGTCAACAGAATACTGGTTGTCTGCTGTTGTTGGTCGGTTTGTATATCCGTTACTATATCCCATGTATCCATTTCCATTTCCATATCCATTTGAGGGGAGAGGAGGGAGTGGAGGTGGGAGGATGGGAGAGGAGACGGATTGTTCGGGCGCATCAGGAGCAGGACTTGGATTGCAACCGGTGTTGGGATCCGTAGTAGAGGAAGAGGCCAAACTGTAGCGCTGAGATATATCAGGAGAATAATAGATACATAAACACATATATGCGTATTAATATAGACAATAAACTTTATCTGTTCAGACCAGTAAATGCGTTGCCCCAGTAGAAGGTAAATGTAACATGGGTAAAGACGTAGAGATTTAGCCCATGAGACTCAAAAAATTTACCCCTTATATTTACATTTACGGTAGATCTTTTGAAGCGCTTCGCACTGACTTCAATGTCAAAATTAAGGAAGACATTCTGAATTCTGAGGTCTTAACCTAAACTCCTTTTTTATTTTATAAGACTTAAGGAAACTGAAAAGCCGCCATTAGAAGCCCTTGACGTTAAATGCGACTGAGGAACAATGATTTTGCTTGAAGTTCGTCGAAGTATGGATTTATGAAAAAAATATGGGGTGTTCGATAGACTTACCTCCACGTGGTGCACCCTGGGCAACGTATACTCATACGGCAAAAAAGTCTATTAACCGGCAGTTGACTTCTGACTTCAAAATACCATGGCCGCTTCCACAGTACTCATCTTACCCTTTTCTCTGCCTTTGTGTCCGTCTGCCTCTTTCACATCTGTGAATCGCTCTTCTGTTCCCCACCCCTCGACTTTCTGCTACTTTGATGAACCTTTCCTCTGTGATGCCCGAAGTCAATTAAAGGGCTAATGATAGCTATCAAAACGCCTGCCATTTGAAATAAATAAAAAAATATACAAGTGTAAAATGGATATTATGGAACCTACAAGGTAGGAAATACAAATTCTGTCGCCCATTTATCAACTCCACTTACTAGATGTTGTTGGCTCCTCTACTCACAAGGTGCCATTTGTGGGTACTGAACCCATGGCCACCAGAGAGCACATTAACCACTACTAATCTAATACAAATATTTTAAACAGAGCTATGGTTAGTAGATGTGATGAATGGNTGTGTGTGTGTGTGTGTGTGTGTGCTTCCAGTTGTCCAGCGCGCGAGCATTGGGCATTCAGAATGACTCATCCTGTATGGGGGGAGAGTCAAGCTTCAGTCCCAAATAGAGAAAAGCTGTAAGACTGCATTTTAACTTTTAACCCGGGTATATAGGCTAATGCCAGAGTTTAGAACCAAACTTTAAATACGAAGTCATCAAACCTTTACTCTCAATGAACAACAGTAGCAGCAGCAGCAGCAGCATTAACATCAGACGTTATACACTGCAGTGAGGTGGGGGAAAGAAAGAGAAGGCAAAAAGGCGTCAACTGCGTCGAATTAGTAAATGAGTGAGATAATTAAGGATAATGAAAGACAGAATTCATTTCGCAATGTCGAGAACCACGAGCCTTTTAGACAACAAGAAGCGAACCGGAACAACATTCACAGTGGGGGCAGTCATGTACAGCGGAGACATATTCCCGTAATTGGGCGTCAAGAGTCCTAGCGGATTCAGCAAGTTTTTCACCACGTGTTGCTCTTCCTGCCTTATGACCGAGTTCACTGTCTTCCATATCAGTATCTGTGCTCTCGGTCTCACTGTCATGATTCTGAGTGTCCAGTTCAATGCCTGATGAGGTATCCAAGTCGGATAAAAATGTGGTCAACGCCTTTTCGAATTCAATCATAGAAGGTTTCAGATCTGAAATAGGAGTAAGAGACAGTTAGATTGGATTGAAGTGTCAAAATAAGTCTGAGGCAAAAAGAGAGTAGGGGAATACCTCCATTCTCTTGCGAGAAAGAAACGATAATTGACTGTGCAGTTTCTGCAAGAGTTTGCAATCGTTGACGAAGCTCTCTGCGGTCGCGTATTAGTCGTGCCAACAATGCATCTCGTATTCTGGCCCTCTTTGACTGAAGGGAAAAAATAGCAATAGTAGAATCTATTTGATTCAAGTACGGCAAATCAATGGATGAAAAAACGTTGGGCCACATAAGGACGGGGAGAATTTGAAAATAACAGATTGCGGGCAATCTTAGGACTCTCTTCCGAAACCACAAGCGCGAATCATTCGTTTAAATACTTAACTAGTACCTCAACCCCCTAAACAAACTTGACTTGGATGAAAAAAACGCCCCTTGGAGTCGATCCTGTAAATTCTAACTTCTCAGACATGCATCACACCCATGCAGACTTACCGAATACTGATGAAATTACATAGCACAGGCTGAAAATCTAACTAAATCAAAGCGATTGAATCGAAAGGCGAGTGCCTCTACTACAGTTTTCATATACCCTTCCACCAAGCACACTAAGCATCCACCAATGAAGACTTTAAAATCTTGTTATATACCATAGACTAACCTCCACGTGGTGCACCCTGGGCAACGTATANTATCAAAACGCCTGCCATTTGAAATAAATAAAAAAATATACAAGTGTAAAATGGATATTATGGAACCTACAAGGTAGGAAATACAAATTCTGTCGCCCATTTATCAACTCCACTTACTAGATGTTGTTGGCTCCTCTACTCACAAGGTGCCATTTGTGGGTACTGAACCCATGGCCACCAGAGAGCACATTAACCACTACTAATCTAATACAAATATTTTAAACAGAGCTATGGTTAGTAGATGTGATGAATGGTGAATTTCTTACAACGTCTTTTTCCAATGTAATAATTAAATGCTAAATGAGTCAGTATGATTATGAATGGTGAATCACGACAACAAGTGCAATGTAATTAATACTGCCAATTCAGAACTAGGAATTCTGGAAAATCTGTGCCATTGTAGAGATTTACTTTTGCCCAAATAAAAATAGGACATTTTGTAATCTGAATCTTCGTTGCCTTAAACTAATATATTAAGAAAATGTATAGATGGCTGATGATTTTAATAAATTATAGTGTTCATTTGTGCAAACAATCACAAGTTTTAGAGGCCGTTTGAAATTATTTATTTTATTTTTGATATTTAATAATGTGCTAAGATCAATTAGGAAATAGTTTCCTACCCAAATCTGACCTTCGGGAATTTGGAGCAAAGAAAAAAATAACCTGGATACAAGAATTTTAATTAACAGTCTCATCTGTCGTTAGCACGTACATGAACTCATAAACTTCAAAAAAATTAACATACTTTCCGGTCAAAGTGAAAAAGTCTACTGGATTAGTGGTAAAAGTTGAGATATTACAATTGAGGCTACATCATAACTTGTAGAAACGTCACTCTCAGTTCACATTCCCAGTAAAATTCTAAGGGTGGGGGGGGGGGGGGGGGGGGGGGNGGGTGAGACAGCAGTAACTGTCCAATATTCACGAAGCATCGAGTCCCATAAAGTTCGAGTTTGTTAACGTTAAAGACCACATCAGTATTCCAAAGTCAAATTTTCATCTATGGAGAAATGAACTGACCCCGCGTACAAGCATGCTGCCAAGCTTAAGCGACTGTTATCTGATTACATAACCCAAACATTGTTATTGAGTTTTGACCGTTTATCGTTAAACCACATTCAAACAATATTTTGGCGGTTCAAGTGATCATGAAGTTGTATCCAGCTATTGACACCCGTCGCAAAAGGAACATGATATCAAGTGATTTTTAATAAAATCAATCAATTCAATTAACATTTTGATGTGGTGTGACGTGATGAAGGAAACATTGACCGTTTGGTCCAAACTATTGCCATATCTTGCTGGTAAACAACAATCATTTTTAAGGCAATAAGAAAATTCAAAAAACATCAGAAGCTAATACGTTTCAATTACTAAAACAGATATTAATAGGGTTTGAACTTAAAGTTAAAATGGAAACGAAATCATCCTATTTCTTTATCAAGGCAAGGCGGATATTACACTCACGTGAAAAGAATGAGGTGTCACAAATAGAACGATCACCAAAGGTTTCAAATAATTGTTTTTCGGGGTATCTTATGGCTTAAAATCATGGGATGTGCGATAGACTTACCCCCGCGTGGTGCACCCTGGGCAGCGTATACCCATTCGGCAAAAAAGTCTATTAATCGGCAGTTGAATTCTGACTTCAAACTACCATCACCCCACTGTATGTCATATCCGAATACTTCCACAGTACTCACCTCTCTTTTTTCTACCTTTATTTCAAATGGCAGGCTTTATGATATTTATCATTAGCCCTTTTTCTACCTTTTCTACCTTCATCTTTGAAACACTCTTCTGTCCCCCCCCCCCCCCCCACCCCACCCCATCAACAACGATTTTTGAGGTGACGCCAAATAAATTACTGTGCAAAACTGCATCACGTATTGTCATTCTAAGAATGACATTTCAATTTATGCGCGCATTTACCAATTCGGAGAATAGTATATGCCCTGGATTTATAAGCAAACGAACAATTGTACACCTTATCTATTGAGCAATCCGTAAACACGTCACAAGATCAAAATGGTCTTTTGAAAAGTATTTTTTCTAAAAAATCGACTATCGATCACGTCCAGGTCTCAACAATATTAGTAAATGTTTTTTTTTAAGATACAAATTATATCCTAATTGTAATTTTTCAATAAATAGATTAAGAACTAAACAAAAATACCATTTAGAATGAAAATATAAAAAAATGTGTGGATTTATTATGATTAAAATTCATGTCAATGATAACCTACCCTCGTAAAGTCTCCATCATCTAATTCCAATTGTTTCATCGTATTTTCCACTTCCTCCAATTGTCGAAGAAGGCAGTTGAGATCATTTTCAGCGGTTTCTTCTAATTTCAAAAAAACACAACAAAAAATCTTCTAAATGCAATTATAAGCATAAATCATAAAAGCAAAATCATTGGCATAATTAAAGGAGCAAATTGAAGCATTAATCTATTCATATTTATGAAACTAACCATCTGTCGAAAATCCGAGTGACTTATACATTATCTTAAGAGCTTATAAGTCTGATCTATTCTGAGTGCATAACGATAGTCGGTGTGCTTCCATCAAGGTGATGATAGCAGCCAATAGAAGATGTCGTGACTTATGCAGCGACAGCACAAGTCACTTATTATGGAATCTTGGAAACAAAAGGAGTGAGAGAGAGAGAGGTGTTGTCTCTCTCACACATTAAGACATTAACATGTGCACTAAAAGCTGTGATAAGCTCTTTTCCGAGTGGCGAATAAGCTAAATGAGTAGAACCTCTAAACTGCGAAACTCATTTGATAAAACGCCATTTAAAGAAAGTAAGAATCAGGGATGGATCAAATAAAGCTTTCAAATGACATTTCTGATGACTTTTATTTGAATCGGAAGAGAATTAGAGGCGCAGATGATGTTTTAATAATTGAATGGCGCGCTTACCACGAAGAGTGAGAAAGCGATCTTCAAGCGTTATTTTGTCTAGTTTTTATGAAGAGAAAATTTAGCAAAGTTATAATGTAAAATCAAAACTACGTAAGTAGTCTTAAAAGATATAATGATTTACGCTATTCGACTTGATTAAATAATTTATCTTTTTATCAAAGTTTAATCAAAATTTATTGACTGGAATAAGGACAGAACACATGATTTTCCGATCGATTCAACAACATATATTCTAAGCGATAGGCTAAATAAATCATGGGATACAATTAACCAATGATGACTTATTGAGAAAACCACCAAGTAGACCAACCACCAGGTGTGGAAAGAGGTGTTTGCAACCTATGGGAGAATGAGCAACCACGCGGAATGTGGAAGTACTTCTATCGCATAAAAGAATACCCTAAATTGAGCATTAAGGTGTGGAAACGTGCGCAAAGGAATGTCTGTTGGGTAAATGTCAAATTAGAAAAATTTGCCGCTGCTGGAACCATTTGATTGTGCTGACGACTGGCAAGAAGAGTGTTTAAGCTATCTCACGCACATATGTTCACTGCGAAATTATGATTATCAATGCTCAGTCACTAACTAATCGCCTTCCCATATGGAGTTGATATTTATTAAACGGATTAAATGGCTCCTGCAGTACGTACAGAACGGTGCAATTAGTTGTCGCTTTCTTCCATCGATTGTTTGAGGCATAGTTTTGGGCAAATTATTGAAAATCGATGAATTCGGATTTGGTAGATACGAGATCTAGCCAAAAAACACCAACCTAGTTACCTAGAGGGATAAGATTGCCAACGACGTATCCCTCTTATTAAGCACTTTTCTCACTGTTGCTGTGACTCATTCTAAGCCATTTGTTTTTTCATTCCTTGTATGTCAGGTTCATTCACCAGGATGGTTCCCACAAAACTGAACACTAATTAATCAATTAGCACGATTCGATTCTAATTGCCTAAATCATTCCCTGCACTGTTGTAGTTCTATCTTTTTTAAATCTCACTGGAATTAATAAGGTCACGGAATTTAGATGAAATGTCTTTCTGTGGTCGATCTTTTGAAATTACCAATCTATTCATTTTAAAGATGGCATTTATGGTGATTATGCAAAGTGGTGCAGTAAAAATGAAGCAAGGTAAAATGGATGGAATTTCAACAAGAACGAACCAAATACTATATAAAAATTTTCGAAAAATTGTAATAAATTGTGAGTTATTCATCGATGTGATTCTTGAGCATCATTACTCAACTCCAGGGTCAATTCCAGAAAAACGTTTTTTTATTGTAATAACATTTAATGAGAACTTGCACTTTAAACAAGTCATTTGTCCTGCGGCACTGTGTTTGGGTGGTGTAATTCGTTAGAAACCTGGTGACTAAAACAAGCATTTGTGGTTAAAAGGGGTGAGTTAGTGAAAGAGGCGGGGATCTTGACTTGCACTCCTGTCTGTTACAAGTTGACTAATTAGGACGTCGAATTTCTGGTTTGCTTTTGCACATTCCACAAACTATTTACGTGTTGACTAGAGTTTTCTTGCAATTAGCTCGCGGGTTTTATGACTACTAGGATTGAAAACCAAAGCATTACATAATCCGATTCTCGGTGAAAATATAAATCAGCAACAATCTTTTAACTATCTTCGCTACTGTCAGATAATTAAACTTGATTGCTCAACAAAAGGAGCTAGTTAATAAGTACTAATTGCCATTGATCAATTCTCTAATATGCAGAATCAAATTTTGCTATTACTAAAACAAGAGAAACTGCAAAAATTTTACAAGGTGCTCTGATGTCTTTCATTTGATTATCATTATTCGCTTTAACATTCACCATAACCAAATTCAAGATCCAATAGGCAATAAAATTCGATTTAAAAATCGCCTATGCCAATCCATTTTAATAAAACAAAATCACGCGTTTGATCGGAATTAAAGAGGCGATTCTGTTTTGGTCATAATGATACACCAAATATATATAAGTTTCACAAAGCTTAGTTAAAACCCATCTTGCGTATAGGAGTGAAATCATAGCGCAAATATTGGGTGAAATTTGATTAGAATTAGGAAAGGGGTAAGAGGAAGAATAAGAAGCTCATTAACCGCAGTGCTCTAGAATTAGATGTTTATTCACTTCAAATGGCTGGCTTTACGACACTCACCATTAGCCCTTTAGCTGACTTCGGGCTTCACAGAGGGAGGAACATCAAAGTGAGAAAAGTGGAGAGAGGGAACAGAAGAGTGATTCACAAATGTAAGAGACAGATAGACAGACACAAAGGCAGATATACAATGGGGTCGTGGTAATTTGGAGTCAGAAGTCAACTGCCGGTTTATAGACTTTTTTTGCCGTATGAGAACACGTTGGAGGTAAGACTATAGCACGCCCCCGAATTACTAGATATGGTCTCTGCGACATCAAAGCGACAATCTGAAGGGCAGGCGTTATCAGTCGTCGGATCGAATTTGTCATGTAGACTGCTCGTAACCGCAACTTTTGTGTGTCTAATAGATAATATTTTCAAAGACGCGAAAATTTATGTCAAATTCGATATACATTGGATATGTGCGCAAATGTCCAAAACATTTCAACCTCTAGGAGCTTGTGGCTAATCATGAGATATGTCTTGGTGTCTGATAATTAGTCAACGGTTAAGGACAGACGTTGTGAGGGAGGGGGGGGGGCGGGGAGGGGAGGGGAGGGGGAAGATGAGAGACATGATGATTCGGATAGAGACCCCACCGCTTGAAGCAAATGTCTATTATTATCTGTAACTACAGCATACCAGTAACCATTTAGTATATGACTAATAAAAGTGTGCAAGTCCATTCCAAACATTTAAGGCTTATTAAGGTAGCCTTCAGAGTTCAAAATTTATCGTCGTTGTTGATCATCGTGAATTATGTCAGGTTTAGTTCTACTTGGTATAGGTATTTAAAAATAAGTGTTTTCCAATTGGGATAAAAACGTTGAGCTGGGTGGCTAATAAACAACATTCAAGGCGGCATCATATGATTTTTTGTCTAGCAATTCGCAAGTTATTTCCTGGTAAATTTTGCATACAGGCTATAGGATTTTCGTTCACCAATCGGCTTGAAAATAAAACGCTTATTAACATTTGTTCCCCTGTTACTCGATTTAAGCCAATCTCACTTCCTAATCAAGACATCTCACATTCAGTAGGATATATTCTATCTTCGAGGGGAAGGTAGCGCAGCAATGGCGCTTCCTGCTGCCCATTCGGATGTTCTATTTTGTTTTTCCTTATTTAAAAAAGAACCGATTTAAGGAAAGGATAGAAGGCAAGGCACGGCATGATCGCATCTTCTTTGTCCATTGTGCATTGGTGTTAAGGTAGTAGAGGTTCCGCGTCCTGTATGTTACTGAAGGTGATTTTAGAGCGTATGCGAGGGGTCACGTGATATCCAGCAAACATTTTGTGAAAACGGCGCACTCCTCAGCATTAATAACGGCCGTGAATACAATCCCATGGAATGCCATTTTCTATCGAGCAGGGCTTTTATTGTTGGAACTTACATGGGACGAAAATAATTTGCAACGTTAAATGAAAACTTCACCATAAAATATCAACAGACGGGTATTCCTGCTAAAAATGTCGTCCTGAGGATCATTATTAAATTTTGAGCTTTACGAGACAACGCCAAACGAAAGCTGTTCACCGGAAAATATTCAATGTGTTCACGAGACTCTGCTTAGAAGCCCACAGAAATCAATCTCACATCTATCCTCAAATTTAAAGAACAAGCGAACATCACACCAGAACATGTTAAAACAGTTAGATATGTGAACGTACAAGGCAAGGGTGATGCTAACGCGACTACAATCGGACTACGTTAAACGTCAACGAAAAATTGAAGATGATAATTGGCAATAGCATTGCGGCAATCATACCAAATAAATTAGTAAACATCACCAAAGCATGTTGAGACGTGTTAAGTTTCATCTCAAAGTTCATGGTGAACACTTTCAGCCATTTGTTGTGAATTATTAAAACCGTAATCATGCTATTGTTCATAATACGTTGTATTTTATATTTTCAAATATATATGTATTTACTAGTAATTGCCTTTCTGTGATCACACGGACCACTTCTCTTGGCAAACTGGTATCTTAAGAATAGGTGATAAGTTAATTTGAGTTAAAAAGTATTTTTTTATTTAATGAAACCTTCATTTGCATGCACTTCCGCTTCCGCTTCCATAACTCACAAACGAGTTCCTTATTTTGATAACATCACCTCTCATAATAGCTTATAAAGGATGACATTTTCAGCTTTGGTCCTAGTTCAATGAACAGAATTCACTCAAATTGCATTAAACAACTTTTTTGTGCCTATGAATGCGAATTTCCGACACTTGCCTTTGCAACTAAGAGTATTAAAGGAGGCCCGTATGCTTTGTGTGAGAGTTGAGGCTCTCTTTCGCCCATCATTAAGCTCATTCTCGAAGAGTGGAGGCGGAGGCGGGGGTGGTGGAGTCGAAGTAACTTGCTTTGATGACATGGTGGGAAAGTCGCGACGGGGTGGTAGAGCTGGTGGAGGCGGACTGTCCAGCATTTGTGCTACTCGCCAGGGTGATGAGGAAGGGGTCACCGGAGTACGGGAGATAGGATGTGAACCCGAATAGGGTGACGCTTTACTTGAAGGTGAAGGGGAGATGGAATTGGAAGACAGATGGTTGGAGGAGGAGGTAGGAGGACATTTTTTCTCTAGACCCTATAGGAGGGAGAAAAAGGCCAAATAGCCTAATAGAACAGCTGCAAACTTGAACGACTATAAAGCTTTTACTTACTAGCTTAATGAGAAGAAAGTAATAACACAACCTAGTCATCCTATGCCTCACGAACTGTTGGCATCTAAACGCTATCTGGGCACAATATGAATTGTCACGAGGTGTTGTCATAGTGCATGTAATGATAGCTTTTTAAGGCAAGTGTGAATAAGTGCCATTTTAGCTGGTCAAACTGATCGATATCTACACGTTGGTAGCGGTAGACAAAACCTTTCCGACTTTCAAAAAATAAACCAATGAGATTAAAATCTTCATAAAGCCCAGATTTCAAGGAAAGTAGGCGGAATGTGAACAAAGTAAGTAACAAAACGTAAGATATTTTGGGACAACTTTAAGTCTCATTTGGACCTCCGCATTACTTGATTTCCAAGTTCCACTAAACGCAAACCAGTCAACCCTTGTTCTTGCACTCGCAGTGAAATAAGCACAAATTATTCATCCCACTTATGGGACAATAATAGTCCATAAGACGTGTAAATCTCGGGGGAATCTTGATCACCATGTCTGACCCTTCATTCCAGATAAGTTTTTCCAAAATCCAAGTTATTTGACTTTATGTGTGGTTTAGATGAGGTAGACAAAATGGTGAGAAAATTATGACTGACATTTGTAGATTCATATTCCGATTTATAATCTACCTAATAGGAAGATAATATAGATACTCCTGACAGCAATGATAACTGTGACTAGAGGCATACATTTGCTAGACCAAATTGAAAGGTCTTTTATTTAAGAATTCAAGAAGAGAGATAGTTTTCAGCAGAACTACTCTTGCCAACATTAGTTGGCAATTAGGAGTTTTCGCCCGTTAATGCGTAAATGCAATGTTTTCAATTATCCTTTTCAATTCATGCCCATCCATAAAAGGCTATGTGCATTCCGAGGCAGCAAACATTAATTTTATATGCTTAATTAACTTGCATTAAGTCACAGAATAACCAAATCTCTGAACTGTTTCCTCAAATTGGAAATTTTTCATGACACGCTAGCCTACACTCAGTTTTGGTCGCATAATCAGAACGTATCCATGACTCTATTGGAAGAAATTCAAGCCATTGCGTACATAATAGAGGACATTTGTAAGTAAGAATGAGAAATATCCAAGGAATCATTCCACTGGCCAAAATGATCTTTTCGCAGTATTTTTCTTCAACAATGCGTCGGTGTCTCTGTAAGCACACCCACATTTGTGCTTGACTAGTTATACTTGTCAAAATGATCAACTTAAAGAACTGTGGAATTTGGGTTGTATCGTCAAATCAGCTCTAGGGTATTTACGCTAGGTAGCTCCCTAAATAGACTTAGGAAATATTTTCCTATCAATTTACGTTTATAACCATTAATTTGTATACAAACTCTAAATGTAGAAAACAACTTCTCAGTTCTTCATTTGGAGATTGTAACCGAAAGGTAAAAATCAAGATATCTACATTTTTAATACATATGCGGTTATTGGAAATGACGAGCCATGTACGATATTACAGCAAACCCGAATGTGCGTTTCACATTCCATAAATCCCGGGGTGTGCGAAGACTTACCTCCACGTGGTGCACCCTGGGCAACGTTTACTCATATAGAAAAAAAGTCTATAAACCAGAAGTTAACCACTGACTTTAAACTACCATGACCCCACTGTATGCCATGTTCCACCACTTTCACAATATTCATCTTACCTTTTCTCTCTCTTTGTGTCTGTCTGTCTCTTATATCTGTGAATCACTCTTCTGTTCCCCCTCTCCACTTTTTCTCACTTTTATGTCCCNCCCCCCCCCCTGTGAAGCTCGAAATCAAATAAAGGGCTACTGTTAACTATCAAAACGCCTGCCATTTGATATAAATAAACAAATAAACATTGAATAAATCCCAAGTCCGCCCACTTGTAAATTACGAACATGCCAATTAAGTGAATTTCACGCTTTGAATTATCTACCTCAAAGGGGAATACTTGGGGAGAAAGAATTAATTCCCTGAGAGAGAACATAATTGGAGGGGAGATTATGTCTGTAAGAGGGCAGAAAGAGGTCATTACATTTCCCCTTTGCGTGAGTCGCAAGTGTATCTATGTCTATACGCACACATTAACGCGGAATTTTATTGCCTATGGCGCTGTTCCTTATTAGATTACACACACACATACACACACACACATGGGGACATAATCTCGCAGATATAAATGAATAACATGAAAGTCCTTCGAACGAAATACTTAAAATTATAACATTTATATATATATATATATATATATATATATATCGCCTGTCGTGGCTAATCAAAAGCCGGAAAAATTATTTTTGCTTCAATTATAAAGCTCAAATAATTTGCGCAAAGTTACTTAAATATTACTAATTAGTATTTGATTCCACGGCGTACAAATTATAAATACAATATGGGTCTTAAAACGTTAGAGATGACATTTAGAAAGGATGATACACATTGCGACATGATGCATTTGTGATTTTTTACGCAAAAAATTTCAGACTTTGTCAGGCTATTTTGGAAGCTTTTCAGCATTTTATATAAATTCTATTCCCATTTTTTTCATGTAATTCATCTCATTTTTTCTTTTATGGCGACAGGATCAATTCTAATTCGCCGTCTAGACATGCATCGACAGTCGCTGTGACACTTAAGTCATGCAATACAATTTTAATTAGAAGATAAAAAAATTTGCCTAATAACTAAGGCACGAAAAAGAGATTGAATTTCATTTAGGAAGAAATATCTTATTTCGATTCGGTAAAGAAAGTAATTTCGATTAAATAAAGCGCGTTAAATTGAAGTGATCTAAACAATGGGAATGGTAAGTTGCATCAAAGTCGGAGAATCAAAATTGCCATGGACATTGAGAATCATTAAAATCACTCGAGAGACAGAGTGAGCTTTGTTTAACCTTCGTACTCAAATTAATTCGACACACGACAGATGTCAAAGACTGAAATTTAATTAGCTGTGATCTAAATTAAGCTGTAACGGTTACTACCGTAGTCCGGAAAAAATAGATCTCCAAAGGGTAGTCCAAATTTCTTAGACCAAGCTACAAACAAAAATCGTAATTACCTTATTAGGATTCAAGATCAAACAGACATATGGCCTCACAACAGCTATCGTAACCTAGCCAATCTTGAACACTTTAATTTTGCCAGCATTTGTTTAGTGTGGTTGATCAGTGCGTTGGATGAAAGGAAACCAGTTAATATCGAATGCAGTACCTCAAATTTAGTCAATGCGCAGGCTATTAGTTACTAAATCGGCGCATATGTGTCCTTTTTTTCAAAAATTTTTAAGATTTGTCAAGAAATTTTAGACAAGATTCTCTTATCTGAACCAAGTTCAAACTCCACCCTTCCCCTCTCCCCCCCCTCCCCCCTCCCCCCTCCCCTCTTCAAAAAGTATCGCCAGAATGTGGACCTATACTTATTAAATAAAAACCCCTGAATTAAATCAAAGCAAAAAAACTGGCCATCTTTTTCGTTGAAAAAAAAAATTGAATGCGATTCCCTTTTTTTAAAATGAAGGAACTTTCAGTCTGTTGCAATCATCTGAGATCCTGAGAAAATGACGGAGACATTAACACAAATTGTACAATTTCCTCCTATCTAAACGTCATAAACAGAAAGAAAAAATTTGATCCATAATTTCAAACTCCATTTGCAGCAATGAACAGGAAAATATTGTCAAGAGTGAGTTTGTCAGTTTCCACAAAACTCCTCGCCTAGAAGATAGAATACAATTTAATATTTTTGCAATTTTCGGGCCAGGAAATATCAACCAAGTATGAGAGTAAGCTTACTTTATTCCAAAGTTAACAAGAAATATAAACCAAGAAAAAGCAAACTTTTTTTCTTCAAAGTGAAGAAAAATACTCGTTGCTTGTACAAAAATAGAGTTAGGAAAAAAGGATTCAAAAAGTATATGTATACATACTTCAAACTCGACAGCAATAATGCAGTTTATTTTAAGAATTATTAAATAATATGAGATTCTCACAAGAAAATGTGGCATTAAAAACTATTATATCGTCGAAAAAATGTAGTACGATTTCCAAATATGAAAATTTATACCAAAAGAACAGTAGATGATGAGTCGTCTGTTTTAATTCAAATCACTTGTTGGCATTTTTAGTGAACCAAAATGACTTCTCAAACTTGAAACAAACGTTGGAGCTACAGAATTCAAGGCAACGATCAAGTGAGAACTACTTCAATTACTGCGCCAAAGTCCATATGAATAGGAAGCAAAAGTGTAAATTTGAAATAGTCCACATAGAAAACATACAATTCAAATATTATTGATTGGACTGGAAAACCAATTAGTAGCTAAAACATTTACCAATAGACCACTATCATTCTCTTTAATTTTTTCTATCATTGTTTATTACGTCATAATTGAATTCCAAAGCCAAGTTCAAATGAGACGCAGCCAAAGAGAAACCAAAACGAAAATAAATAGCGTACAATTAAGTGCACCAAAAATTTTATTTGAAACACATTTATTAGCAGAATGAAATGTAAAAGAGCTCTTAAAGCATTATTGTTCATAATTGGGGGGGGGGGGGGGGGGGCTGTATTTTATCTGAGTCCGTCATTTAAAAATCGATACCATTAATAGGTGCTGAAATGTATTAACTTTCACCTTAAACTTGAAAGAAACTAGGAAATATTGAATTCTAATTAACACCCGACTTGTGATTAAATTTAGTTTTTGAGATTTACTAGTTCCCAATTTTTAAAACCTCTATATTTCGGTTCGCATTCTCGTTTATGTAGTTCAACTGGTACAAACATCATTAACCCATTAACGCTTCTTATACAACCCTCAGAAGTAAATTGCAACCGATGGAAAGGAAATTTTCCCCCCGAAAAAATTGATTAGTTCTAAAAATTTTAAAAAAAATCATTAACATTCCAGATATGAAACGTCTAAATTTCACTTTCTTCTCCTTAAAAAAGTGCAACATTAAAAGGCATGTTGAAAATTTGAATTGCAGATGGTCGATTTAATTAGATAAATAATTATGGATAAAGGTTCGTCCCCATTG